ATTCAAACGAATCACGTGGTGTGCCGTTCTCGTTCAAACCCGGGATTCGATCAATAGGGGAGTCCCATTAAAAAAACACATTGCAAATCATGCAAGTTCAACATTTTCAAACCAATATACTAAAACAGAAATGCTCAGAGATGCAAAATGAAGGATAGATATTACTTTTCACTATACACATCTCTGTTGATACTATCCCTCACATATTCTACTCCCAATTACTCCTGCGTAAAATGGACTAGCCTCTTCATGTTGACATTCAGACTAAAATCACGTGACAGGCTGTTAAAATTGGCTGTTGTATACTCTTTCGCCGGTCTGGAAAATGTGTTTAATTAACTCACATTCAAGCAACAATGCAGATTTCCCAGTGGGAGTGAGACTATTCGACTCTGCCACTAAAAAAATAGGGGTGTTTTCAGCAAAAAACGAATAACCCTGGAATACACACAATATACTGAATTTCGGAACAAATCGTGCATTACTTACAGCAGCAGAATACCACAGAAATATCAGACGAAACATGAAAACACTATATATTGTATTTCAGCTTGAACCCTCTATATTGCAATTCAAGGAATTAACCCCATATGTGCATCCATTTCCCACCTTGGTATCACCCACCCTTGAAAACAAACTCTTAATACCACGCTGAAGCGTTTGGTAATCAGTATCAAGTATAGATCACCCACTACGTACCCAACCAACCATATACAATATCAGTATCAAGTATAGATCACCCACTACGTACCCAACCAACCCTATACAATATCACAGTCGTTATCAATCATGGATCATTTAATTATTTTAGTTTCCAGGCGGTTTACTGTGCTACAGCGTGGCTAAGTCTGCCGTAGACCATTTCACAAAGTTTCTTGCAGTCGGTAAGCATTTGAGTTCCAAATACTAGGCTAGCAAGGATATGAACTTAAACCTAGTAAAAATGTCATGCGCAACGCAATGTATTCATAAACAAATATATACATTTTATTCAAAGATAGAATATTGTTTAATTCACAAAACAATTGTCCCGAGGTTTAAATGTCACGTGGTTTAATTATCCGAGTAATTCTTCAATTATATTCACTATACCAGGTCGTGTTATAATAAAAAATGATTACATCACGACTTGACTTGTATACGTGCGACAAATTTCCTAAACAAGTGATAGTGGACATTTGGGTATATCTTGAAACCCACTTTGAGTAGCCTGAAATATGACATGACAAAACAGAAATCACCGATCCTGGTCATCCATTGAACTCGAGTAATGCGCGGTAGTCGTCGCACTGCGCATGTGCGACATTTGTGTTGATAAACATTGATTTCCCACAATCCAATGTGCTCTTCAAATGAAAATCACAACGTTCAAAGTCGCCATCTTTGTTCATACCCATATATCTCGCGCATGCGTGGCGCGACGACTACCGCCCTTTAACCCTACCAATGTTACCCTTCACGTAGAAATCTTTTGATTCTTGCAGAACTGGGCTCAAAACAAGTACGCGTGAATGCCATAAAGTAAGTATTGCCACGTGTCACTATTTTGAGTCTGTAGGGTCTCTTTATTTAATATTTGTGATTTGCGCAGCACAGCGGAACACAATGCAACGCAACTTGTGAGGCAACTGAACCCCAACTCTGCAGCACCCGTAATGATACGAAACATTTGATATCAATCTTTTAAACACGTTTTATTAACAAGCCGTTGTTATACTTTCTAAACTTTATAAATAAACGTCTGCCACTATGCTGTGGAAATTGAACTCATTATCTGTAATGGGACGCACTCAATATTATTATAAAATGTGTATGATGTAGAAAGCTGGACAATTATTTGTTTGAACTAAAGTTAATTTCTAGATATTATCATGAATGAACTACCCCCTACTATTCAAAAGTAATCCTCGGTTGTATTAAACACACATACATTCACAGTATCAAAAGATTTTTATTTTCTTTCTTAACTTTTTCGGTTTCGTCATGGATTACATTGATTCAAAATTCCAGCTCGTCAAATTTCACCCGAGTTTGTTTTTGACTTGTACGTCATGTATTATGCAAGGCAAATGGTATTAGGGAGGAAATGTCTGTCGGCGTCGTTATTAATACTTGTTAATTTTTGATAGATAACTTGAGCAATTCTAATCAAAACAAAGTAGAACTTGGGTATATCATTCATGAGTATAACATTTTGCCCAAGCTTAATTGGTTTTTGTATTGTGTGAAAATATCACGAGATTTCGAGGAAATTATGCTTCAAATCTCTTGCATGTGCATGAATGGTCACAAAGTTGATGCGTATTCAACTCCTTTACTGGACTTTAAGGGAATAGTCTTCTGTGTATCTTAAAATATGTGAGTGCCTGTCTTGCAAAAAAGGTCACTGGCAATAAATCTCCTAAATCCCTTTGATTGAAAACTGTGTTTCAACATCAACAAACTGAAACGAATTTGCAATTATATCAATGAAATGCGTTTACGAACAATCTGATGTTCGTTGAGTACTTACGTGTGCCTTCTAAATTTTGTTCGTTTCATGATTTGGCCTTTGTCTTCATTGAAATAGAGGGAAAATCCTACGAATGACAACATCTGTCACACTTTTAAAGGATAAAAACAAAGGGCTAGGTAACCAGAGTTTAACTGTGTTTCCGAAGTTTGTGATCAGCTAAACAGCCTACATTACGTGCCAGTATGGCTGCCTCGGTTCGACTCAGGCGATAAAGTTTTATATTTAATGTTGTTTCTATAGACAATTGCATGTACTGTTTGCACATGCCATGTACATATTCATTTCACATCAAATCTCTGATAAGACTATTCTAAAATAACCGTTTTCACATTTTGTCGTGCGCAGTGACGCAAAGGTATATATTGTTGGCGTACAAAAACATACAACTACTGATAATAATGAACCAGCAACAACAGCTATGCCAATAGAATCATAAACATTTAATTATGAAGAAAGTATTTGTAACCGGTTTT